TTTAGCCATGACGACCTTTCTGCTCTTATCAGCCTTCTTCACCTTCTGGCTCGCGAGTTGACTTCGAATATCCTCTTCGATAAGCTTTGCGAGGCCGCTAATGGCGGTAGCAAGACCCATGCCACGGTCGACACCAGTGATGGCAGTGGAACTCAAGGTGCTGAGAATGGTGACAGCGGCCAAACGACTAGGCGTAGAAAGTCTGAAGAAGGGTCCGTACACGCATCGGTCGTAGTCTTCAGGCGTCTTCTTCGCGACGGCCTCGGACTTCTCGATTTTGACCATTTCCTCCTTCAGTCGCGCCTCCAGTGCAAGTTGCCAGTCGTACAAGCGGGAGTTGAGTGATGCATGAGCTACCGAAGTATTGAGTCCCATCTTTTGTAGAGATTCGTTCTCCTCGCGCCATCGCTCTACAGCTGCGTCAACACAGTCGCGCTCGAGGCGGGCTTGGATCTCCCTTCGTTCGCGAAGGGGAAGTGTGGAGATGTCGCATTCTTGAGGAATTTCGTCGAAAAGGCTCAGAGTCTGCTTTAAACTCTTCAGTCCGAAGCCTTTCTGAGGTGTGGCCATGACTTTCGGCATAGGCTTCGTGGAAGCGGAACTCAAAGCTTCACTTTCTTCAACGGCAACATGCTCATCATTGACTTCAGCGGCTGAAGTATCCTCTTCAGGCGCGAGGTTGTATATGGGGCAGATTTCCGTAATGACTGCGAGGTCTTGGTCGCTCAGGATCTCGGCCATCGATAAGACTTGCAAGCCCGCCTCGCCGGGTGCCAGTCTCATGTAGCGAGTAACCAGCCGGTGACGCCTGCTGGCGTCGCGTTCGGAGATAAGAGAGGCCTTGAGCATGCAAGCGATAGTCTCTGCAGTTTGAGGGAGGCCCCTGGTGTTGATGTGCAACTCGTACCATTTGTGAAGGTTCTCGGCTTGTTTCCGGTCGGGATGGAGGCGCAACTGCTCGAGAGAGGCTCGGATGAATCGGTTGTGGAGGAAAATCAAGTCTTCGCCAGGGAAGCTTGGGACAGCAGCCAAGCGCTTGAGGACCATTTGTGCACGATCGACTTTGCCGACACGGATGCAGGCATCGAATATCGGCAACAGTTCGTCCACATCGCCAGGAACGCCAAAGTTGTTTATTTTCCCCCGAGGTTGTTGCGGTGCGTTGCTCTCTTGGAGTACCAGTGGCGAGGCGGGGTCGAAGGCGCGCAGCTCGTGGTATCTCGGGCGAGCCGAGACGTTCTGGTATGCTGACAGGACAGAACTGTCCAGTCTGTCGTAGTTGGAGCTCGCGATGGATTGATGGTCATCTACGGCGGTGGCAAGATTCCGCCCGCCGCTGAGGCTACCTCTTCTGGCCGTGGGCCGTCCATCGTTCTGTGTGCCAAAAAGACGTTTGGTTCTGACGCTCGCGTTTATTGTCGTCAATGGGTATCTTGGTGTCGGTCGAGAGGGTCGGAAGACGGTTGCGTGGTGGAGGGAAAGACTTCTCCGGCTGTTCCTGAGGAGCATCTTGAAAGCTCACGCGACGAAAGGACAGACCGGGGTAAGTGACGTCGTTTCAACAACAGGAAATCTGTTGAAGATCTAGGAGAGGTATCGGTGCATTAAGTATAAAGGAGTATGAAAAGAACGTGGCTATATTACAAAGTACAGAGAATGAACCTAATGCGTTGCGATGCTGGGGCGCATACACAGTAAGGCGGATGCAACAGATTTTGGGTGGAGGGAGAAGTTTTGGGGGGGAGGCGGACGGGAGCTTGTCGATAGGAGGCGCGAGCTATCAAAATTTTGCCGTCCTTTTTTTCCTGTCCTTTGACTCGGGCAATCGGGGTCGTCCCACTCCACCCGCCGGGGTGGAATGGACAACGTCGTTGGAATGGAATTTTCTGTCCACTCAAAAAGGGGACGGTGGGGCAGAAAGCCAATCAAACTGTCCATGGATTCCTGAGCTTTGATTCGTCGGTACGACCCCCCAAGCACGTGCACGCATCACCACGCCTGTTAGGTAAGCATGTCTTCAGGTACGCAGACACGACAGGCGCGCGTCTTATACCTCAAAAGATGGGAGGCAAGAACCACTGCGCCGGCCCATACCCAAAGCGCAAATATTCGAGTTACTTGCAGTATGCTCTAATGAGGCAACTCGAAATTAAGTGACGTCAGTCATGAATCAACGGCCATTTTGATCGGGAACTGATACCTTCGAACACGGCCATTGCAGTGCAATTTCATGCCGTTGAGAGTACCTTCCCGTCCGTCAAAGTTCGCGGCTCATGGAGCGACGGGCCGGGAATGAGGGGCACTTTACCGGGTGATTAGGTAATACGCCACAATGTACTTTCGCGCTCCCAAGCCACGGTCCAAGCTCTGGAAGGACGAGAATTTTGGCCGCCAACAATTCTTGTCGACAGGAAGCTCCCAGGTTCAACCACAGTCTCCGAGGAGTGCAGCAAGCTAACGCGAAGATGGCCTCCCGACCTGCGTTTGCAGCTTTGGGCTGTCTCCAGTGTCGCAACACTGTGTTACGAGCCGTCACTTCCAACTCAGCTACCTTTCTTCGAGCTCCCGCCATTACAACTACCGCAAGCCTGCGACCTCGGAACCTGCAAAGAGCTTTCTCGAGCCTGCCCGAGGCACCCAAGACGTCAGGCGAAGTTCCTGCCCATGCAACCGAAGCTGAAGCAAAGATTGGGGAGAACGTCGGGGACCAGGTTGTCAGCGAAAAAGAAGAAACGCCATGGTTCCTCGAGGTCGAGGCGCCTATACATCCACCGAAAGAAGATGTGTCACCGTTACCCGAACTGCCGAGCAACCCACCTCCTATCCTCGAGCCTCTATTGAAGTATGTCTACGAAGAAATGGGACTCGATGACCTTTCTCTCCTCGATCTGCGCGCCCTGGATCCGCCACCTGCTCTGGGACCCAACCTTCTCATGCTCTTTGCAACGTCGCGAAGCGAGCGGCACTTGCACGTCTCGGCTTCCCGGCTAGTGAAGTGGCTCCGTTTTCACCACAAGATCGAGGCAAACGCGGATGGGCTTATTGGTCCGGGCGAGCTGAAGACAAAGCTACGGAGAATGAGGAGGAAGGCGAAGCTACTCGGCTCGAGTGCCATGGTTGCAAAGGGCGGCGACGATGGAATCTCGACTGGATGGATCTGCGTCAACCTCGGTACCAGTGGATCCACATACAGCGAAAGCGAACGCTTCGATTCTCAAGGCAAGATGTCTGGCTTCGGTGGACCAGCCACTGGATCTACCATTATTGTCCAGGTCATGACCGAGTCTCGGCGTAACGAACTAGACCTCGAACGACTATGGAGCCAACAGCTCGTACGAAGCGAGGCTCAAGAACGTAAACTGGCCGACGAAGACTCTTCCTATCACAACCGATACGGTGATTTGCCGACGACCACGATCCGAGCGCGGAAACCCAACTACGCAAACACGTCGCAGAGGAGAAACTTCTCCACAAGTCTCTCTCGGCCTTCGACAGACACCGAGCAGGCGGCTGTGGGCGCAAAAGACGCAGGTATTACTCCTTCAGCAAGTTCGAGCCCTGTCACAGACCCGCTGAATAAATATCGCCAGCGAATTGAGAAAATCCGGTCGGAGGGGGAGCAGGTGAAGGTCGAGGACTGTTTGGGGCTCTTGAGGGGCATCTTCCAGGCGCCTACAGCGGAGGGAGATCAGGGCCATGACCAGGCGGACCTCGCCACCAAGGTCATTGAGACGATGCACCAACGGCAAATGCCAGTCATGGACCACGAAATGCTCACTACAATTATCGAGGCGATCGCAACATCACCTGCACGAGGCGGACCTGAGCAAGGAAAATTGCGGGGCATTCAAAGTAACTTGGAGTTTGTGATGCTCAAGGGCATGCAATCTTGCCCCTCGGAAGCGCAACTCGTACGTCTTCTCCGAGCGTATGCCATTCAGCGGAACATAGATCAATTTTGGGAGATTTGGAGTCTTCCCCCACGATACGGCGAACGCAGAGGGTCAGCATTATACCGAGAAGTGTTTCACATCTTTGCGCGCATTAACAGGAGGTCTCTGAGCATCGACGCCCTCCGGAGATGTGTACCCGAGATGGTTCTTGAGCAGCCCCCAGTGCTGCCAGACGAGACGATCTGGTCGGACATCAAGGCTTGCATCCGTGTCGCCGACCCTAATGCGGAACACATCAGCGCTCACATGGTATCCGGCAGTAAAGTAGCCAACGACGGCAAGAAGACTGTCGAGTTGGAGTTTGTCAAGATGTTCAAGGAGCTCGAGGCGTTGCGAAGGAACGCTTGAGACCTTTCACGTGGAAGCTGGAATCGATTTCCAAGCTAAGATTCAAGGTCCGAAGCGGAATACGTCGACGGGACGGGTGACGGCAGGGGAAATGTTCTTGGCGAGATAGCGCGCCTGCAAACAAGGGCGTCTCTGGTCCGATGGCGGAACTCGGCGCTCACCGATGTTGACCGATTGTGATATCGACTCAGCAATGAAGCTGCGGAAGACGCGGCAGAGATGGAGGCTTCACCTCTACATGTACAACACTCAACATAAAAGCAAACTTCAAATGTACCATACTGTAATAACAACAACGCCAACTACGGATAGACGGCCATGTTACAAAATATCGCACTGGTCTAAAGACCTGCACGAATGGGTAATGCGACTCTGCAACTCGCCTCCTCCGGCGTTGGTGACGATGAAATTCTTTTCAGCCCGCCCGAGCTCTAATCCCAGACCTTCCTATTCGGGAAGTGCTCCGTCTTATCTCTAGGTGAGCCCGGCAGGATTGCGGGGGAGGATCGGAGTCTACCTTATTATCATTTGACATTGACACAATATTTTTCTAATTCCCACTTCACCTCGGCACTAATGCAGGTGTAATCCAACTTCAATGCGCCAGCGTTTCCGCCTCAACTTGCTGGAGAGAAGCATCTGAACAATCAGCCCAGCCGTGGTGACACGGGTGAGTAATGAGGAGATGGCATTCGTCAGTCAATCTGCGTCGTCTGAACATGCAGGTTGTATCCCGGCCCCTGGTCCATCACACGCAGACATTTCCCAGTGCCTGACTCTCCGCTCTCTCTCTCTTTCGCGCCCGGATATCGGCATAGCATGGCAATGTCTGATTGCAAAGCTGTGCAACTCGGATCTTGTCGACCAATGAGCGTCTAGGAAACGCCCTCCGCAGTCTGGATCGACGCTCCAGGTTAACCTTAGCCCGGTACTTATGTGAAGCTCGCGATGCCCGAACAAGCAGGAGGGCCAACACGATGGGGGTCCTGGTCTGCGAAATGCTGCATCACCAACCCAGCCTCCAAGGCCTGCTTCCCGCACCTCGCCTGTCTTGCCGTGCCAACACAGCCTATCTTACTCCCTTTACCGCCTCCATGGAACATACATCCATCATGGAAGTGGACTAATGCGCGCCGGTCTTGGCCACACGTGGGCCGGAAGGGACCTCGAGTCTCCAGAATGCTACATATAACCTACATCGCTCCCTCACCGTGACATTCTCCTCCTCTCTTCCCGCTCGCCAAGGACACATCTCCCGCCCTTCATATCCATCTTCCTTGCCCTCCTCCTCCTTCTCCCCTCGTCTCTCATTCTTCTCACACGGTAGCAATCCCACGGCACAAAAAGCCATGGCTCGCCTCACCCCCCTCACCCTCCTGGCAGCCGCCGCCCTCCCCAAGGCCGCCCTCGCCTGGGGCTCCATGGGCCACGCGACCATCGCCTACATCGCCACCAACTTCGTCGCCCCCGAGACCAAAACCTACTTCCAGCAGCTCCTGGCCGACACCACGGACGACTACCTCGCCAACGTCGCCAGCTGGGCCGACTCGTACCGCTACACCACCGAGGGCGCCTTCACCTCCACCTTCCACTACATCGACGCCCTCGACGACCCCCCGCACTCGTGCGGCATCGACCTCGACCGCGACTGCGGCCCCACGGGCTGCATCGTCTCCGCCCACGCAAACTACACCAACCGCCTGCTCCAGCAGCCCGCGCTCTCCCTCGAGCAGCGCCAGATCGCCGCCAAGATGGTCATCCACTTCACCGGCGACATCGGCCAGCCCCTGCACTGCGAGAACCTCGAGCTCGGCGGCAACGGCATCGCCGTCGAGTTCAACGGGTCCAGCACGAACCTGCACGCCGCGTGGGACACCAACATCCCGCAGTCCATCACGGGCACGGGAAGCAGCGTGCTGGCCGTCGCCAAGTCGTGGGCCTCGAAGCTCAGCACCGAGATCAGCTCTGGCGACTTCAAGACGGCGTCAAAGTGCTGGATCGGCGGGCTGAGCCTCGAGGACCCCGAGTCGCAGGCGCTCGCGTGGGCCACGGAGAGTAACAAGTTTGTGTGCTCTGTCGTTCTGCCGGATGGTCGTGAGGCTGTGGAGGGCAAGGATATTAGTGGCGCGTATACGACGAATGCGCAGCCTACTGTTAGCATGCAGGTTGCCAAGCAGGGTTACAGGTAAGTTCCGCCCCTTGGTCTTTTGCTTGTTGGATGGAGTTGGGATACTAACGTTGTATAGACTTGCCAAGTGGCTGGATGCCATTGTTGCCCAGCTTGCTTAAATGTAGCACGGCCTGGGATAAGATGCTTTTGGGTGTACCAAGGATATGACAAAAGCCAATGAAATTTGAATGAATGATGATGTAGCGGTGCCAGACCAAACAAGATAATCCATAATGAGATGATGGTCACTGGTCTGTTTTGAGACCATATGATGGGCTTGGTGTTTTGGGAAAGGCAGTGATTGTGATTCATACCAACCTTTGTGATTGGACATTGAGCTATGAAGCAGCGACTGGGAGCTCAACTGCTGTTCGACTCTACGACTTGCTCTCTCAAAACCCAGCGTGCTTCTTCGCTTTGTTTTCGATATAAGGAACAGTCCGATGAAATTTGAAATGGATAGTGCCATTATTTACAGATACTTAGCTGCTAGCCATCCATCACCACTCTATTTCGCCTTTCGAGGTGAATGGGGATTGCCTGTGTACATCCCAGCGTGACCTGTCCCAAGCTGATGTAGTCCGCCGAATAATAACTCCATGCTTCATGTTTAAGTGCCGCACTATTAACACATCTTCTTTGTCTCAAAGCTTGGTGCCGCCCTTGATTGTCTGCCGTAGCATAGGCGCAACCTGCTTGCGAGAGCTGGACAGACTCTTCTGGTGCCAGGCCATCCTCCACTCCCCTTCACCAACCTCATCGAGTCTGCCCTCGCCCCAGCTCTCCAGGCCTAAATCATCCTTGTATGCTTGGTAGAACTTCTTGCAGTATTCGATAGCGTCCTCGTTGAAGGCCCACAAGAGAAGCTCTCTCTGGAACTTGCCACCAGGATGCGACGTCGTCATGATGACCCCGACATCCATCTTCTTCTCCTTGGCCCACTCCTTAAACTCGCCCAGCAGGACATTATCATCGCCGCCAGCCTTGTCGAGTAGATAATCCAGGTTCTGGACAATGGCCGACACGCCCATGACCTGATGGCGGCTGCTCGCCTCAAAACCTTCGCCAAGATCCTCCCACTGCTTGTAATCCTTCCGGAATACGTCGCGGAATCCCAGCGAGGATATGTCTTCCTTAACGGCGGATATCTCGTCAAAGAACGCGTCGCGTCCGCTCGTGAATCGCTCGAGAAAGGAGACAGCGCTCGTGTCCTTTTCCGTCGTCTTATCCTTGGACTTGAGGTTCGTGGTATCAATCAGGATTGCTGCCAGCGACAGCCTGGCGAGGTGCTCGTCCACTTCGCTAGCGCCGGTCTCCGACTTTGCGAGGTCCTCCCACGCTGAGCGGCAGTACTCCACCACCAAGCTCGCACAGCTTCCGCACTTCTCGACGACGCGGGGCTCGTCGCCCGTGTCTTGGGGAACTTTGTGGTCATCGGCGTGGTGGTCTACGCAGCCGACGACACTGCTGCCGTACTTCTTGGCGAGGTCTCCCGTCAGGGCATTGTGGTCGATGAGAACCCATCTGGAGTCCTTCGCGGCGAGGTCTTGCGGTATCTCATCGAGGGTGAGTAGGTCACTCGGCTTAAGCTTAGCATGCGCCAGGGCAGCTGTCATCTCGGGACGGAGCTTGAGGTCATCGCGGGGTAGATTCGAAATGGGGATATGGAGGGTGTGAGGCGCAGCGTGGCTGCGAAGGTAGGCGTATACGACGGCAGAGCATAGAGAGTCGAGGTCTGATTTTTGGGTGCGAATAATAATATCATTAGCTTATTTACACATGAATATAGGAATGCCAAGCCTTGGGTGTCTCTCGTACCTGCAGATTCGTTGCCAACGACCAACGTCAAGGGACTGGCCCGTTGCGGAGCCGTCAAGGCTGATCTCGCGTTGGCGAGGAAAGCGCCGAGGGAGACCCTTGGAGGCATTGAAACAGAAGAACTATAACAGGTAGGTGTATTGGAACAAGGCTTCGAGCGTTGGTGGTATTAACGCATGGGGAACTGCATATGCAGGTTGCCGCGGGAGTATCAAGAGGCGCGGTCCTAGCAACTTGGAGCTGTTGGTGGTGGTGGTGGGGATGACGTCGGAACGTTGCACAGCGTTAGGTCCCTTCAGCTAAGGTACGCAGTAAGTCTGGGGGACTGGCTGTCCAATTGACTTTTGTGGATTTCAACGGTGAGATGTCTTATCGCTATCTTATCCATAGCGCGGTCCCTTATCGCTGCAAGTTCCCCCCCCCGCTATCGGATCGCGGGGCACTCAGGTACCTTGGGGTGGACGCCTTTCACTTGACTCAACCGCGACCCGCGTGAACCCCACCATCGCCGCGGGACCGCGGTCGGGGCGCCGGCATCTGGACAGCCACCACCTGTCACTTGCTCCCGTGCTTTGTTCTCACGATTCCTTCATCATCTGCTTTGTCCCCCGGCTTGATTGTCCTTCGTCGTAAATAACAGCCCAGTCTCATCTTGCAGCAATACTTTGAATCTCATTCACACAACATCTTCATCCCTATCTTGTATATATACCTTCCTCTAGTCGAAATCAATCAACATGGGCTCTCAACCACCCCGCATCCGCCTGGCCATCCTCGAGGCTGATACACCGCAGCCGCAGACTAACGCCGAGTACGGCGGATATGGCGGTGTCTTCACCGCACTTCTGCGCACCGCCGCCCTGGCCAGCGATCCGCCTGCACCGCTCGACAGCATCGTCGACCTTTCAGTATACCACGCTGTCGGCGATGATGCCGTCTATCCAGACCTAGACTCCATCGACGCCATCCTCATTTCCGGAAGCAAGCACAACTCATTCGACAACGACCCGTGGATCTTGAAGTTGGTCGAGTTTACCAAGAAGTGCATCGATAGCGGGCGGGTCAGAGTCATTGGAGTATGCTTCGGCCACCAGATCGTCGGGCGGTCACTAGGTGTCGAGGTAAAGAGGAGCGACCTCGGCTGGGAGGTTGCTGTTGTGGATGTCAACCTCACGCCCAAGGGCAAGGAGATTTTCCAGCTGGAGAAGATGGTAAGCTTTCAACCCAGGCGTGCCATCCCTCAACTTGGCGCGAGTAAAGGCGGTCATTTTTCATGGACAAGTACTCACATGCCACAGCGCATCCACCAAATGCATCGCGATGTCGTAACAGAGAACCCAGCGGGCGCCGAGTCTTTGGCATACACGGAGCTGTGCCCTGTCCAGGGATTCTACTCACCAAAGAAGTTCATCACAGTCCAGGGCCACCCCGAGTTCACCGGTCCCATCGTCAGTGAGATCCTCAACGTTCGCCACAAGGCTGGCATTTTTGACGAGGCGATGTTTACTGATGCCATCAATCGCGCAAATATTGAGCATGACGGTGTCAATATCGCTCGTGGTTTCCTTCGCTTCCTTAGAGAATGATGCATCTTCGTTCATAGTTCTTTGCCTCAATAGACCAGCGATTGTTTTGGATACCAATTTCACTCCCCCAACCTGCTATGTCTTTTACCTAAACTGTGCAGCAATCCTTCTTGAGCGTGCTTAGGGCTCCTACCGCTTGGAGTCCTTCGGCGCAAGAGTAAGCCAACATCGCAACTACCTCCGTCTGGGAAGGACGGCTGGTATGTCATAGGTAGTTACGGACTACGCGCTCTTCCTTCCTTCCTTCCTCTCTTACCTCCTTCCTCAAATACTAGCTACACATACCTACCTTATTTACTCTCTCCATCGTAGACTTCTTCCTTCTCTTTTACAACCTCACCCTTCTCGACTCTTATCTTCTTCAACTTCTCCCTGTCACTGCCAACCTCGAAACCCGATCCTTCTTCCTCCAACATCTTGAGCTTCTTATTTTCATCTTGCAGGACCTGACACAATTTCTTCAACTCATTACACTCTTCTCAGCACGTCCTCGTCAAAAATATCCAAACTTCAAGAAACCATTGAGCAGGTTCGTACCAATTGCCCTCTCGGGCGCGCTTTCCTAGCCGAAAGACTCTTACAGCACCTTCTTACTCCTTCGCTTTACCTTTTTTCTCGCATACATCTTTACTTCATATACCCCTCCTCTCATATATCCTCTCCCTCACACATCTTTTCCCTCACTTATCTTTTCCCTCATACATCTTTTCTCTATCTCTCTCACACACACGTACTATCTTCCTCTACCCTACCTGACTGATCTTAGAGGCTTGGGTAGTTACTGCCTTTCTAGTCAGACCCTTCGAGAGTTCCAAGTTCTCACCGCTACGCAGCTTTACGTCATCGTTCATCGGCTACTTTCCTCCGCCGTCATTCGGTCACTATTCTAAGCCTCAGACCTCCAAATTTCGCCTACATCTTGCACTTGCGGTACTCCGAAGCTCTTCATCATGAGCTGCTTCAAATCTGGAAATGCAGTGGCAAAGGGCGCCAAGCGTCAGAAACAGCCTTTCTGTTTCGACGACGACGACGGCGGCGGTCCGGTGGAAGGCGGAGTTCGCCCAGCAATTGCCCCACAAGCAGAGCCCGACATTTTCGATCATGAGTCTATAGAAGACATGATCGAGGAAAGTCGTCGCGACATTCATGGCAGTGGAAAGGCTGCAACTTCGTCATACCATGGCAACAACGAGATGGACGATCTTTTTGTGTCCAGAGATGAGCGAGTTCATAACGCTGAGCTCTCTCATGAAGCCGCTGTACCCATCAAGTCTGAGGAGTCTGACGATGACTTTGATCTGATGATCATCGACCAGGGTGAAGCATCATCAAAAGCGCGAGAGGAATGGTCCAAGCCACGAGGCCCATGGACAATTGATCTTACTCCATCGTCAATGGTCAAGTCAGAGCAAGTCGAGCACACTCGTCTTAGTTCTATGCTTGAAGACACTGGGCGAGAACCCGCAACGGAAGTTTCGGTTCTTGGAATCACCTCTTCCCAACATGAAGAGTCTGCTATCAAGAGACTAGAGGAAAGACAGGCAAAGTTGCACTCGAAAGCGCTGAACGGTGCGATCACCAGAGAAGAAATCTCGGAAATGTACCTGGTCAGCTTGGAGCTCGGCCAAGCTCGAGAAGCAGCCAAGGCTGAGAACAACGCGCCAAAGGCGGCACCATTTCTATCCAGCAATCTAGGTGAGAGAACGGCTGGAGAAAATAAGAAGAAAGCAAAGAGAAAGCCAAATGCTCTAATCAAAACCCACGAAGAACTATGGCGTCACGAAGGACAGAAACGCCGAGACGAAAAGAAAGACGACGACCGCAAAGCACATGGAAAGAAGAGACCGGGAGCATGTCAAGGAACGGCACGCGACGTCAAACGGATGAAGAAGTCAGACCAGACCTTGAAAAAAGCGGGAGAAGAGGGTGTGGACACAGGAATTCAACGCCAAATCAACAAGATACTACATACAGTCGACGCGATCCAGGAGCGAGCGGATGCAGGTAAGCTGCCTGATGCGCCAGTCATCATCGCGACCACAAGAGCCGAGCAACTAAAACAGTTGAGGGATGCGGCGCCGGGTTATTTCGATCCAGAACTTTTGAGAGACCAGGCAAGGCAACTTCTCCAGGCGACAAAGGGTCTTGGTCCACGTGCTGTCCGCGCCAAGAACGGCCTTTGGGGCGTCAAGGGTATGCTGTCTGATATGCATAATCACCAACTCGTTGTTGGAGCTTGGATGAGGAAACGAGAGCTAAACACAATCCTCAAAATGCCGAAGGGAGGAATTCTCGCAGATGCAATGGGGTTAGGAAAGACAATCGAGACTTTGTCATGCATTGTGAGAAACCAAGCATCGGAGAAACTTCAAAACGAGGGGAAAGGACCAACACTGGTAGTTGCCCCGTCAGGGCAGACGATCTCCCAATGGATGGATGAGGTCAGGAAGCACTGCAATAGGAAGTTCGCCAGGCACATCATCCATTTTAAAGAGAAAGACAAGATGGATGTTGATCCGCTGGCTTACTTCAATATTGTGTAAGTCATGGAACAACAAACTTGAGCTTTGGAAGCTGATAGGCAGATCCAGGTTCGCTAGCTATCATCAGCTGAGGCGTAGCATTCCCTGCGTCGAGACAATGGAACAGAAGCGGAAGGAGATTGCTGACCCTAAAAAGTACAAGAAGTGGCTTGAGGAGTCAACCGGCGTCTTGCATCGAATCGAGTGGCATCGGGTAGTACTTGATGAAGCTCACGCCATCAAGAACCACCGAACACACTGTAAGCATCATCTCGGCAGTGGTCGTTGGATACAGGAAGAGCATTGGCTAATTGAAATTTCAATATCTGTAGCTGCTTATGCGAGCTTCCGGCTGAAGGCCAAGTACCGGTGGGCGGTGACTGGAACGCCACTCATCAACGCAGACTCTGGTGAGTCATCAAGACGTTTAGCCATCTTGACAGAATCTTTCTCACATTTTCACAGAGTTTTTCTCCTACTTGAAGTTCATCGAATGCCATGGTATCCAGGAGTTCCGGGACTTTGAACGCAAGTTTCGCGCAGGAGTGAGTACTATTTTGCATCAAATATTAGAGAGGTATATAACACTTACTCTGGTCAGACTCCGACTAGGGAAAAGTACGACAAACTTATCGATGATGTGATGATGAGAAGGTAAAAGTCACAGCTCAAATCTAAGAGGTCTTCTCGTTAACACATTCTGTCAGAACTCCGGGCGAATATTTCCTTGGCCAACCGATTCTGAACCTGCCAACGACTAAGCCTACCCACCAATATCTCAAACTTTCGAAGGAAGAGATGGTGATATTCAAGTGAGTCCAGGCAGCTCTCTCATGCACTTTATAGCTTCTTACAGGAAACAGGATGATAGAGGGATGCTTTCGTCGAAAAATCAACCGTGACATTGAGAAGGGGACCGCCGCCATCCAGATAAAATCTTATCTGGTGATGCTACTTCGCTTACGCCAAGCATCGACTCATCCATTTCTACTAGAAGGCATGATGGCAAAGTATTTTACTCAGCGTGACTTGGAAGCAACTCGGAAACAGTTGAACGACCTCAAAGGTGGCAGTACCGTCTACAATCAGATCGGCTCTTGGACTCAGAGGCAGCGGATTGGCAACCGTCGTCTCATTGAAGAACCAAGCCTGCTGAATAATCCGCAGCTTGTGAATGGCACCGAAGAACTACTTGACACACACATCACCCAGACTGATGAGTCAGTCCATTGCAAAGCAACGAATCAGGGCCTTTCTCAGCTCAATGGCGGCGAGGGCGCTGTTGAGATATTTGATGACACTGATGAGGTCGACAGCCAAGATGAGGCCGAAGAAGATGAGGATGGCCTGGTCCCGGAGCGCTACCTTTCGCAAAGAACACAGCCGGGACATGTAGAAGGCATGGATGTCAACACGGAGGATTCACAGCTTCAGCCTTTTGGTCATAGCGACTTTGGTCTTGCATTCGACATGTCCAAACAGATACAGTACCTGGAAAAGGTCTTGGAGATGAAAAGGTCCAAATGCGCTAGTTGCCACCAAAGATCGCCTTTGAATCCAGTCAAGGGCAGCAAAGTAAGTCATCAAATCGTTCCAGCAAATGGATCCATTCTTTTTTGAAATTTGAAAACCCTGTTCGCCTAGCTAACATTGTTTACAGTGCGGCTGCGTTTTCTGCCCCAAATGCGTGGTAGATCACCTCGCAGACAATGTATGTGCCATTCAACTGCCGCAGTATTGACCAACGCTGACTTGAGGTGTTCTTAGGGTAGGAAATGTCCCAGATGTCGCAGAGAGATTGGCCGTCCCAATAAATTGAAGCCGTTCGACGACGAGGAGGATGGAAATGCGGGGTCTACCACGCAGACCCTCAATGACAAGGAGTATGCAAAGGGGTTCGACTACACCGGATTCCAGCACACAGAAGATGACAAGGACGAAAAGCATGCAGTCAGATTCTTGCAAGTGGCAGACAGGCATCCAAATTTGCCACTTACCCCCAGTGCCAAGTTGACGGCTTTGAAGGAGACAGTACTGAGATGGCAGGCCGAAGCCCCAGATGACAAAATAATCAGTACGCTCCTTGCTGCATTATCCCGCCTCATGTATCGCTCATCACTGACCCAAATCTTTCTAGTCTTTAGCCAGTTCAACGTCGTCATGAAGCTCATTGGTCGGCTACTCGAAGCTGAGAAAATCGACTTTGCATACCTCAGCGGCAAGCAAAACACCGAGCAACGCAACAGGGCCGTGGACGAGTTCCAGAACGGCGACAAGATCAAAGTCCTCATCGTGTCGCTCCGAGCAGGTGGTCAGTGTCTGAATCTCACAAAGGCAAACCGTGTCATTCTCATGGAGCTCTGGTGGAACCATGGCGTGGAGCAGCAGGCCTTTGCTCGCGTGTACCGCATCGGCCAGATCAAGGAGACGCATTTTGTGCGCTTTATCGTGGATACGCCCATCGAGCAGCGTATGCTACAGATGCAAGCCAGCAAGATACACGCCATCGATGCGGCCCTTCAAGATGACACGATCAGAGCGCCAAAGCTCAGCCTAGAGGACATTGGTAATCTTCTCGGCAAAATCACTTTCAGAAACGGAGCCATTCACCACGTCTCTGCCGACTATGATGACGCCAACGATAATTACGACGATTATGACGACAGCAGTGATGATAGCAGTGATGATAGCAGTGAAGAAGAGGGTGATCTTGAGGGATTCGTTGTCTCCGATGACGAGGAGGAAGCTACTGATTCGCTTTCTGACGAGTCGGAAGAGGAGTGAACCTCTACAACCGAGAATTCCCGCATAATTGGACCGAGATCATAGCTTGGAGTTGCCCTCATACGACACGGCGCGACATGATGCAAGCAGCATCTCGTTTTCTTCTCAGCTTTTGCGACACACGTTTCTGACTTCTACCACTTGCTTCTCTAAATGCACCACGAGAAGGTGCCATATATCCCCGGAACATATCCAACCAAACTTGAACATACTGGGACATTGAGCTTTGACAAAATAGAGGAGATTGGTCTACCTTGGCAAAGCGATGGAATTTACGCACCCTGGATGAGGGAGGAGTGCGCGTGGAAAGGACAGCTTGGAAAGGACAGCTTGATGCCAATGATAGAGGCGCGGAGAGCTTTTTCGTGAGGAAACGAAGAAGCTACAAGGGAGGTCAGAGAGACATTCTTCTAAAACAATGAGCTCAGGAGACATGAAGAACAACTTCAGCCATCGTCTCTCACATAACACATAGACTGCCTTCCATAATAGACTTCTCGTATTCAATCCTATTCAATCCTTCGCCGATTCCCCGCGTCGGACACCTTTATATGCAAACTTGGCGTTTTCTTGTGCCGGCATATGCAGTCTTGGTGGACGTCTCACCACTGTCGCAAATATGTCGGCATCATTGCATACTTCGGTCCTTAGCTCCTACGGCTCTAGTGGGGCCGAAGGACCGAACTTGCCGCGTGTGCAGGCCTCCTGCGCCGGAGTTTGTGGGTCCGCATCTCCGATGCTGCCGATGAATGAACCCCCCACCGCCGAGCACAGCATAACGACCAGAGTATGCTCGGGGCATTAATCAAAATTTGGTTTAGTGTGATAACTATATCTGTTCATTCAGTTCATGTGGTATCAAGGCGAAAAATGACTACGCTACCGATGTTCTCCTTCCTGCCCGTTGCCGGGCTTCGTCTTTATCCCGCCGTAATTTAGACGGCGTCCTCCGATGTTTGGCTTGCGTGTCTATCCACGGCTTTTCTACGGCACAAAATAGACATGCGTTAACAAGACCCTGTATTGACAGGCTCACAAGTGATAAAAGCACAACCACGAAGGGGCCAGCTTGCTCTGGGTTGTCCCAGCGCATGACGTGGGCAACAAAAGGAACCGCCCAAATGAGTATGTATACAAGTGGGTAAACAAAAAGTAGTCGCAGTTGGCGACGAATCTTGTCGCGAGTCTTTGCCATTCCTGTGCCGTCAATAGTAGGATGGTAAAGAAAGGGAGTATTGTTGTGGTCTATGTCAGAGTCGAGAGAGGTGCCTCGACGGAGGATTGACCAGATGTTGGCGAGCGACTTGGCTCGGGCGCTTGTTGGGCTGCTGGGTGGTTGCCACTGAGTGCTGAAGCTTCCGTGATCATAATATGTCTGGGCCGGATTCAAGTCGACCGTATCCCGGCGTATGTAGCTTTGCGGAGGAGGCGAAATAGGTTCAAAGTTGGTGGAAAGTGGACTTGTGCTGGCCTCGAATACACGGGGGGAGACATTATCATCGGATTCCGGGATGCGGCCATCGTCCTCGTTTCCATAGCTCGGCCAGTTCCATTGAATCTTCTGCCGGCTGTGGAGAAGCTCAATCTCGGTGGTCATAGTAGTGTTTGTGGAAGAGGTACGTTGCTGATCCGAGTCTTCCACCGAGGTTTCCGACCCGCGGCGTGATGTTGGGGTGGCTGGCACCGATGGAATATGGGCCCACTGCCCATCGTCTAACATATGTGTTGCACTCGCACGTCGCATGGCACTGAGTCGACCGAAACGCCGCATGCGAAGAGTGACATAGATATAGATGTAGGCGTAAAGCGCAACAATGGTGAGCAAGATCATGTAGCGGGGAACCCAGCTCAGGGCGAGTCTTGCCCATTCGGGGCGGGCGGGCAGGTAACAGTACTCCCCGTTGTTGACGTAGCCGGGCCAGTTGATAAACGCCAATGAAGCCATCAAAAGTGGGAAGAATGCAAAAGCGCTGAAGGCAAGACGACGGTGGGGGTACAATCCACTCTGTCGCCCGGAATGCCGCGGTCGGAAGATGTAAATGGCTGTGTGCAAAGCGATAAGCACAACAGC